TAAAAATATGGAAAAAATATAATTTTGAAATGTTAGTTATGAAAAGTTTTAAGTAAAAAATTAAATAAACTAAATTAATGATTTGGCCAGTCGCCGTTTAGCAGGCGGCTGTGGATCAACATCACTGCTCTTGTTGTTGTTGTTGTTGTTGTTGTTGTTGTTGTTGTTGTTGTTGTAGCGGCTACAACAACCCCGCCCAGGACGGTTGGTATCTCAGTCGTTGTCGTTCAAACAGAAAGCAAAAAAGACTTAGTTTTGTGGAAAATATGTTCAAAAAGCATGAAAAAAAATGTCCAACATTTTGCTTCATAAGCACTACAAAAATTTTCTAAATCAATTTTTTTTTTACATTTTAATTGTTGCACAGGTCTCCAGCAATAATTTGGCTTTAACAGATTGAAAAAATATCAATTAGTCGACGAGTTATAGCCAAAAAAACCATATAAACAATATGCTGAAAATCGGCATTTGACTTCAAAGTTCGAAGGTTGATTAAAAAAAAATTCGAACTAACATAAACAAACGCCGCGATACGGGTCTTCTAATTTAGCCTCTATTTTCACCCCTCACTCTCAGAATCGACCTAACTTTTGCTAACCTGTATTTGTTCCACAGTGTAATTGGATCGTGAAGAAATTAACGATAATCTTAAATTTTTATATGAGAATTGAATTCAGTTTTGTTTTTTGCTTAAAAATTACTTGTTACATATGTAATTCCCTTCACATTTGCACATTGACCATTTTCATTCTCTCTTCCACAATAGTTCCCCATCAAACCCCAACGATGCACACTATTCAACAAATTACATCGGGTGCTGCAGCAGCTAATGCCGTACAGTTGGCGCCCAGTCTTGTACCGTTGGTTACCTCGACGATAACATCGCACAACAGCCAGAAACCTCAGCAACAACAGCAGCAACAGCAGGCACATCAGCAACATCAACAACAAGTGCAACAACAACAGCAGCATCAACAACAACAACAACAACAACAACAGCAGCAACAGCAACAACTGCAACAACAACAATTGCTACAATTGTCCATACAACATCAGCAGCAACAACAGGAACAACATCGCCAACATCAGCAACAACAACAGCAAGGACACCACCAACAATCGCAGGCGCAGGCGCAGGCACAACAGCAAGCACATGCGCCGCAACCGCAGCCCCAACAACCGCCTTCGGTACCTATCGCGCTAATACAAACCGATCCAAGCGTATTGGCAAGGGCAGCCATGCAATTGCAGCACCTGCCAGCCAATGTCGAGCAACATCCGGTGGTTTACTAACAGCAGCATGATTTCGCACATTGGTGAGGCGCGTTGACGGCAGCGTTCAACAATAACAACAGCGCTGATGAAATCGGCGATGGCGGTGGAACGGTGCTGAGATAAATGCGCGCAAGGCTGCAGCTGCTACAGCGATTCCGACGGCGACTGGTGCTTTGGTGACGCAGACGAGACTAGAAGTTTGCGAAATTGTGGGAAGTTGAATTTGACGTCAAAGCTGCAGAAACTTTGGACCAGTTTCAAAAATAAAGAGAGAAAAATACGTTTGGATATATGCATGTACTTTTAGGTTGATATATTTAAATAACTATTTTATCACTGCTGCACTATTGCACGTGAAAATTAGTTAATGCAACAATATGTAACTAACAAAAAAACTTTAAACGGCGTTATTGGAGTATAATTTTAATCAACAAAACGATGTTTGAAAATGATGCAAACTTTCTAAAATTGTATGACACTTTAAATTCGTCACGCTGTTTGCGGCTTAGCGTAAGTCTGGCATGGTGCGAACATAACTTTTACTTTTTTGCTGTTTTACTCTTTCACTTGTATGTAGTTATATGCGAATAGCCAAAGTCTATGGAAACTCTATTTTGAAGCTTTACATTTTCAGCTTTACTCTTTTTTTCAATTAGATACTTTGTATTCAAAGTTTCGAGTGGTAGTACTGTGCAATAAAAGAGTTTTTCAAACCTCTACTTCTAAAGTAGTGGCTCTTTATTTTATGTAACCAGTGTATTTCCATGTACGCATACATCCTCTAGAGTTATGCTAAGAAGCCAACAGCGATCGAGAGTAAAAACGATTGGTAGGTGGCAAATTTGTTTGAAAATCGGCACTGAAGTTGAAGAGCCAAAAAAAGAAATTTAGAAAATCGTAAATTACAAGCTTTAAAACTTTATTTTTGTTATTGTAATGGATTAATAATTATTTTGTTATCGAAAATTGTAGGCTAAAGTTGAACACTGAAGGCCATAGACCGCTTTCTGAACATTCATTAGCAATAATCTTAAAGTGCTCAGATTATATCTATTTCGTGCCATTTCTTTACATATGCATATATGTATGTATGTAGGAATTAACATTTATTAAGAAGTATTTCAAAAATATTTTAAAATTGTTTTCTGCCACCTACAAAAAATTTGTCCGTTATCATTTCGTGGAATTCAATCGCTTTTGCCCTTAAGTTATTCGGCCCTATGCTGAATATCGTCATCGTCAGTAAAAGTGATGATAAGGCAATCGTCAGCCGTATTACCGATGCGCTGACGATCGTCGACGATGACGATATTCAGCATAGGGCCGATTATTTTTTATTCGACTCTGTTAGTTTTTCCTTACTTTTTGCAGCTAAGGTGGTTGGAACACTTGTAAGACAGTCATTCTTAATCTACATATTACATATATGTGTTAAACGTAGTTAACCTTAAAGAGGTACGCTGTATTATTCGCATTTTAGAAATAACTAAAATTAAGTGGCTCCGAAGAGAAAATAATAGCAAAGAAAAAAATCTAATGAAATGTGTATTTCATTTTAATTGAAGTTTAATCGAGAAGGAAAAGGCATATATGAGTAAATTATTTACATGAGTAGAAGTATGGCTTTAAGCGTAGAATATGCAAAAAAAAACTAATATTAAGCGACTAAATTCGGTATTATTTTTGATGAAATGTGAAGGATAAATAACAAAATTGACTAAATGTTAAATAACAAGAAAATAAAAAAGTAAGAAAACAAGACCAACACGAGAAATTGGGAAAATTCCAAATTTAAACTTAAACAGACACTGAAACATATGTATGTTGAAAATAAGTAAGCAGCAATACCAAGCAAATATTCAATGAAAAGTCTAAAAAGTAAAAGCCTATGCAAAAGTTTTAAAACGACAACTTAGTGAACATGAAGAAATAAGAAAATCATTCAATTAGTTTATACAAAACATATGTGCATATATATTATTACTGGCGGCATTACTAATAAAATGAATGCACTAAGGCACAAGCATACACAAATACACCATATGCAGTAGCATATAAATATAACGAAATATAGCATACATACAAAAATGTATAAAAAATTTTAAAAGTGACAGATGTGAGAAGATATGTGAAATTGAATGTGGTACATGTATGTATATTAGCGACTAAAATTGTATTGTTTACAATATATTTTTTTTTGCGAAAAATAGTTATTGGAAATTTTATTTCAAAAGGTCATTTCTTCTCGGTTAGGGTTATTTCACGTAAGGTAATGATTTCTTTAACACTCTACCCCGATAAAATATTGGTATTTCATTATTGTTCACAATCATCTAATAACTTTTGCATAACAAATTTGTATACTAACAAGATTTTTTAAACACATTGACACACCATTTACATACATGCCTAACTACTACGACATCTTCATATACATCCACAATTATTTATCAACTACATATATATATACAGCGCAACATACAGATATACTATAATCAACCGTAAAAGTAGTATACATATAAAGAGCCTCACTAACCAGAGACGTGAACCGGTTTTGAACCGGAAAACCGCTTTTTTTCTATTAATTAACTGAACCGAACCGAAATTTTCCACAAATGTTTAATCCGAACAGAAAACTGAACCACTTTTCATAAAGGTTTAAAGGTTCGTTTCAACCAATTTTCAATAGATAAATTTAATTGCTTTTTTTCTTTTCGTTAAATATTGTAATGCATACCATGTTTGTTTACCATGTGGCAATATCAAATATAAAGGCAACCCTTCTCATTTAACAGACATTTGAAATTTAACCTTGTACGTGTTGCACTTGACACTTTACACTTAAACTTGCGCGTTATTTTTTCATTTCCGAACCGTTGAAAAGAACCAAAACCCCGGTTCAAAGACCAAAAAACGCTTCTCGAGCCAATCCAAAAGTGCAAAACCGGTTCGAACCGCTGAACCGAACCGATCAAATTTTTCATCCGGTTCATGTCCCTGTGTATAACACTAATTATTAATATTAACTGTTTACGCTTTAATTTAAAATTAATCAATACGCATAAATTAATGGTACCATTACGGTTAGTTATTAATAAGGGTGGTTACGGTTGAAGATACGTTGGGGAGAAAAAAGCGTAGCAAAAACAAAACACCAACAACATTTTTGTGTAGAACTGCAAGCAAATTCTTACATATACTACATACATACATACTCGTATATACTAATAAACGCAGGTAAAACATAAAATGAGAAAAATGTAGTTTTAGTTCATAATAACATGATAGAAACTTAGAAACGTTTACTATGCTAACAGCAGCAGCAATGATCACTATAATTATTGCTATTATATTAAAAGAAAAACATATACATATATACATACTATATTTACGCAACCATGAATAATAAAATATTGAAAATATATAGATACTAATGTTTATAAATTGAAAACAACAAAACATAAAAAGTAGCTTGAAATATGCGCGCTGAGCGTTTAATGAGCATAAAAGGAGAACCATAAAAATACAAGGTATAACTAAGCGAGCCACGATGGTATAACATTGATCCCATAAATAGTCTAGGAACGCTGGAAAATTCTTAAACAATAATTTATAACGCAAGTGTGGGTGGTTGCGGCTGTGCATACATAGGCAGTATTGACATTTTGGCAAGCTACAAAATTTAAAGATTTGTGTTCTTGGTGGGTGCAAAATCTAATTACAGGTCTATTCTGCACGTTACCGAAGATTTTGTAGCCGCAAAATTTTATTACCAAAAAAGGTTACCAGTTCTTGCCACCGCGATTCTAGGTACGTTGGTACTGCAGTTAAAATATTCAGCAATTCAGCTATAAAGAATTGTGCAAATCCTGGCATTGCATATTTCACGGGGCAATAATTTGTTACCAGCTTATAAGATGGTAACAAAATTTACCGGTTACAAGAGTACACAGAATGCGAAAAGGGTTTAAAAATTGACAGAATCTTTATTTACCGGTTACAAATTTTTTATTACAAGCGCTGAATAGACCTGTTAATAGCATACCATAAATAGTATATGCGATTGCATAAATATCGATGGCAATGGAAGGAAAGTTCCGAGTTAAGCTCGATGCAAAAAGAAAACATTCAGAACACACAATAGTATATTTTTCACCGCCGAGAAGCATTGTTTACAAATCTAGCAAACTAAATAGTGTGCTTATACATATGTACATATGTAAATTTGTGCAAATTGAAAAGAAATCGAGTTTATGAAAACGTGGAAAAAAAATTTTAATTAGTACAACGGAGTTCTGGTTGAACGATTCGTCAGAGGATGAAGCTTAGAAAACTGGCCAAGAGCAGATAACGTTTAAGAGAGTTTAAGTGCAGTCTTTCGAATATATTTTGACACTATATATTTAAGAAATTTTGTGATCCAAATCTACTTAAAATATATTAAAACTATAAACAGATCTATGATTTTGTTCTCAGAGATCGTGCCAACAGCGTATTGGCATTTCCTTTCATAAGTAAAACCAGACATTCGAGCTTGCGTTTTGTATTCACGACGTTGCAATTGCATGAAATTAATAAAAATTGTTTAGAATTAGTGTCTAGCCGCCAAAAAGTAAGGAAACAAATGCAAAATCATAAATTTTTCACAATTTTCTAACTCTGCGCTACACCAACGAAAGCAAAATTCTGTTCGACAGAAAATTCGATACTCAACGAAAATTTCGACACCCTTGCATAGCTCATAATACGAATTTCACTTTCGATCTTCGATAGCCAGCGAAGATCGAAAATCGAATGCAACTCATAATAAGGGCCCAGCTTATGAAATGGTAACAAAATTTATCGGTTACAAGTGTACACAGAATGCGAAAAGGGTTTAAAAATTGAAAGGAATTTTATTTACCGGTTACAAAATTTTTATTAACAGCGCAGAATAGACATGTAAACAACGATTTGTGTGGCCGACTGACAACATACATACATATGTATGTACATATATGTACGTAGATATACTTGCTAATGGAAAGCACAGAAGGTGTATGTGCTGCGTTTTTTACTTCATTTCGGTTTGTAAAGAAATGTGCTAACCTTCCCAGTGGCTTCCTAGTATGTAAAGAACAGAACGAGTAACTACATAAATAAATAAATAATGACAAGAATATGTATGTTAGCGGTTATGTTTATGATTATTGAAAAGAAATATACACATATATAAACACAAGATAAACATATTTTCCAAAAATGATTGAAATAAAAGAAATACACAACTATATCCAAAACGAAACATATTTGAAACTGAACTAAGTTGGTTATTTATACTTTAAAAAAGTTGAATGGCAACCAATAAAAAAAATATATATATATGCATACATATATATTATATGAGAGAAAAGCATAATGCATAAATCTGCACTAATCATAAATTGAAAAGAAAGCAAGTTGCATAGTTAAAACATATCCTTAAAAGTATAGCACAGTATGTCGAATGAGTAAAAATTAATAATATATTGTAGCGCATAAAAAAATAAAAAAGTAGGCACTGTTTTAAGTTAAACAATTAGCTGACGAGCCACACAACTTACGAGCCCATTATGCCCTTAAAAATTGGAAAATAACCAGAAAAATAATAATACATATAAACTTAAAAGCATTACTTTATATCTTAATGCATTGCAATTATATATATTTCATTTGCTTCTAAAAACAATAAAAATTTGAGTTTTATTTCGTTTGCAGTCAATGACATAATTTCAGAATTATTTTAATATTATCATTTTTTAAATTTCAGTTGGTTATTGTTTTATACAGCCCGTTTCAGCAAAATTAGTTGTTCATAATTTTCTTAATTTAACTGCCCCGTATTAGACTATCTTCAAGTTGTTTTTTTAAAGCAATGTTAAGGACATAACATATATTCGCAAACAAACTTCAAATCTTGGGTTTATATGGGTTTTGTTAGAGGAGGAACTGTATTTTAATTGGAAATTTGTAAAAATATATAAATTAACATAGGTGGCAAACAATATAAATAATTTTGAATTGTTTGCAAATGATATGTCCGATACTGTATGTATTCCCCAGTGAAAAAAATATCCAGGACCAGCCAGTAACTTAACTTAATTTCTGAGAATCGCTCTCAATAATATTAGTCAGCGCTACCACTGAATCCATAGTAGGTTCGATTTTCCTGAAATCTACGAAAGTGCTATCAGTGAATCCGAATAGCTACGAACGGAAATTCGAAATTCGTAGAGAGCCTTCACTGAATTCGTTTGTATTAAAGATTCATACAGATACTCTACGACGAGTTTGTGCTGCCGGTACAAAATTTAAAATCGCTGAATCTTAAAAGTAATGCAAAAAAGCTGCACTTTTGTTATTAATAATAAGATTTTATTATACTCCCAATTTTCTATAGTTTCATATACATAATTCGTATATTTGTGTAAATGTAGGCGTAAAATAGCAATGAAATATGTACATATCGAGGGCTTAAAGGGTGAACACACCAAAACTGCGACACTTAGAAATTTCTACCAGAAACAAACTAGAAAGCTTTGATTTTTTTTTTATTATGATACCTTGAAGTTTAGACATAATTAATATGTTAAAACATTAGTTATTATTGGGTCCATATGCAAGGGATTGGATATTTCGTTGCACACGCGCCATCATGTTCTGCACGAGTGCATCATCGGCTTTACGCGATGCCCACAACCACTTTGTTTTGAACTCTTCAATATTTTTTACTGTTTCACCTGTTTTCTTCAAGATTCATTTGACGATTGACCAATATTCCCCAATAGGACGTAGCTCTTGGCTATTGGGTGGATTGCAGTCGTGAGGTATAAAATTGATGTTATTGGCATCAATTGCTTGCCATGTCCGCCCAGAACAGTGGTCTAATACCATGTCTGTTGATAAATGACAGAAGACGCTTTTTGAGGCACTCATCCAGATAAACTTGAGCGTTCTTTATTCCGGATGTAAAAAAGGGCTGCTCTTACGGTCACAGGAACAAATAGCATGCCAAACCATGTTTTAGCTTTCAGGAACATCTTGACGACTTGCAGCAATGTAAAAATTTTGACCAGTAATATATTTTAAATTTTTAAAGCAGTAGGTTTCGTCGTCCATAACAATGCATTTGTATTTTGTAATTTAAAATGCATACAACTTCCGACTGCGGGCTTTTGCTGTAACATTCTGCTTTGCGCCTCGGTCTGGCGCTGTTTGAGCTGGAGAACTTCTCAATGAAGCTTTCCGCTTTACCTTTTGTACGAAAGACTGCGATCTACATACGGATTTTGCAAAATAACGCGACCAAACCTTCGAATCATGCGGAAACGTACTGAGGACCTTCGAAGCACTGTTTTACCACTTAGACAATGTTCTCCCCCGCTCCCAGGTTTTCCAGTAACTGTCAAACCTTATTTTGTAAAATCCTTCGTGTCGAATGGTGCAATTTTTAATTTTTAGCAATTTTACGCGCATAGCTTCATTTCTTATCTTTTTGGACTAAAATCTGAATAGTGTCAAAATGCCAGAGCGTAAGCAAAATGCGCTCACTAAAAGAAAATAACAGGAAAAGTAAAGGAACGCAAGAAACCAAAGAATGGCAACAACAAAACTAACGTCAAATAAGAATGGAAATGTATGTACAAAACACATTCACACGAGCACAAGCACAATAAACACTTATATATCAATTATTTTTTGCCTCCTTCCAATTTCAATTCACTTTTTTTACTTTTAAATTATTCTCACTTTTTGCGTATTCTTTAATTTCCGTTAATTTAAATTCAGTTGAGTTTGACCAAGGCGCAGTCATACAAGTGGTGGCAATTGCATATAATTAAATTCCCGTGTCTTTTGTTATTGCTTTTTGGTACAGGAGGATGTCAAAACGAAAGGGAATAGGAGATAGTTTTCGTCATTTCGTTTTGTTGACATCCTAAAGTTGCGCCACTTCGTCTTGGATGACATTCTCCTGTACTAGTGTAGAGACAAAAATATCCAATCAGCTGATCAATCAACACCACCTTGTATAGATGCGCCTTGAGTTTGACACTTTTCAGGATTTTGCCAGAAAAAATTCTTCTGACTACTTCGGACTGAAGAGAGTCACTCTCACTGAGTGTTGCTCTCTAATTTTTGCTGTAATTTTCGAGTTAAGGAACGCTTTTTGGACTAACCCCTCTATTCTAACAGAGTCACAAAACTTAGCTCATCAGTGTTGTGATTTCTAGT